ACTGCCAAATCTTTCTCCCATGGAGTGGGCTGGTGGGTTCAAACCACTGACCTTTCGGTTAGAAGCTGAGCGCTTAACCACTGTGAAAATGATACCCTAGGAAAATGGAGCAGTTCTACTTTTTTCTATAGGGTCACTGTGAATCAGAAGGGACAGCACACACTACCACCATCAATGACATTTCTAATAAAGTGATGACTGCAGTGGGGAAAATAGGCAAGGTGAGGAAAGATAAGGATGGTTGAGATATTAAATGTGGTTCTTGGAGGCCTCACTGAAAAACGTGACATTTGAGCAATGGTCTTAAATGGGTGAGGGAACAAGCTATTTGGAAATCTGGGGGAAAGGTGTTCCAGGCACAAGGAACAGCCAGTGCAAAAGCCCTGAGGTGGAACTGTGCTGAACAGCAATTAGGAATGATAAAGGGGAAGGCAAGTTTAGAGAGGTTAAAGGGGCTGGTGAGACAGGACAGTGTGGGCCACATTGGGGGTGTTTATTTGGGGTGATAAGGAAGATGTGGTGCATTCTCAACCAAAGGAAAAATATGACCTGGCTTGTATTGTAAAACTCTGGGTGGGACCCTCTGGGTCCCCATCTGATTGAGGCTTTCTAGTAAGCCCTGAGGATAGCTGGTATGCATTGAGACCCCTCCCCATGGCTCCACCCAGTGGTCAGTTCTGGGAAGGCTCCCCCTCCTTGCATCCTTCCCCCACCTGGCTAGACCAGTGGTGTGGTCCACTTGTCACCATGACGATGGTTGCTAGGGAGCTAGGAGAGGCGAGAGCATCCCTGTGGCTATGGGGAGCATTCTGCCTTGGCATCTGGCAGTGATGTGGGGCTGGTGCTAGAGGAACATGCCATTCTGTGGGTGTGCCTAGGGCTGGGTCAGTGGTCCCAAGGCCCTGGGAGAGCCCCTTGCCCCACCCACAGCTGGATCCACCACTGTTGCTGTACCTGAGAACATCTGTTGTAGAGCCCTCTGCTCCTACACTGAGGCTGCCCCTGTAGAGACCAATGCCCCACCCAGTGGGCCCTTGCCTTCAGCCAGCCACCGAAGCCTGGGTACCCAGGTGGCTGAGTCTCAAAGGGCTGCCCATGGTTGAGCAGGCACTGACAAGGGTCCTTGTTCATGTTAGGTTTCTGGAAATCCTTAGAAGTTCCAGGAGTCTACAGAGGTTGGGTAGGCACTAACACAGGTTGATACCAATGATCCCCACTAGGTTGCCATGGACTTTAGAATATCCTGTTGGTTAGGCAGATGCTAACGTGGGACCCATTCCCGTTTATGCCCCTTGTTCAGGTCGCCATGGATCGGATGAAGAAGATCAAACGGCAGCTGTCGATGACACTCCGAGGGGGCCGAGGTGTAGACAAGACCAATGGTGCCCCTGAGCAGATAGGCCTGGATGAGAGTGGTGGTGGTGGTGGCAGTGACCCTGGAGAGGCCCCCACACGTGTTGCCCCTGGAGAACTTCGCTCTGGACGGGGCCTACTCAGCGCTGCACAAGGTGGGGCCACTGACTACTCCCTCTCCCCTACCACCCAGGCTGGTTCCCAGGTGCTGCCTTCTGGCCAAGTTTCTTTTAGATTTGTGTTTTAATTTTCCTCTCTCTCTTTTCTCTCCCTTCCTTGTCCTCCATGTACTCTCTTCTCCCTTCCCTGCCATCCTCTGTCAACACCCTCTCTCTGCCTACCTGTCCCCCTTTACTTAGCTTTACACCCAGGCATACCCTGCTTGCAGCAGCTGCCCCAAGCCTCCCTCTGCCCCTTTGTTCTCTTCTATGGACCCCCTGGGCCTGCCTCCTCAGGTCCCTTGGCTGCCTCTGCCGCCATCTGTCCGCTGGCCCTGGGTCAGCTACAATCTCAGCTTGTCCCTGGAACAGGGTGCTTCACTAGGTGACTATTGGTCCACCCCCCTATACCCCATTCACCTTGTTCTAGACTTGTATGAGCCTTACTTGGGCCCTGCATCCTCTTTCCTGAAGTATTTCAGGCTGGTCTGGGAGCCATGTGCACATGTGTGTGGTGAGGGAATGTGGTGGATGGAGTGTTCTGGATGTCCTGATGCCACATGGCCTGCCTTCTCTTCCCCCTCCACCAGAGATTGTACACGAGGACTTGAAGATGGGGTCTGACGGGGAGAGTGACCAGGCTTCAGCCACATCCTCAGATGAGGTGCAGTCGCCAGTGAGGGTGCGCATGCGCAACCATCCCCCACGCAAGATCTCCACTGAGGTGCTAACCCCCTACTCATGTGATGGAGGGGTTGGAAAAAGAAATTGGAACTTGGAGGGGATGGAGGCTCATGATCCTTTCTCCCCTGTTTTGGCTACTAGGACATCAATAAGCGCCTATCGCTACCAGCTGACATTCGGCTACCTGAGGGGTACCTTGAGAAGCTGACCCTCAATAGCCCCATCTTCGACAAGCCCCTTAGCCGCCGCCTCCGTCGTGTCAGCCTGGTGAGCATTTCCTCTTCCTGTCCTCCTTCCTATCCCATTTCCCTCTTCTGAGCCTGCTTAAACCTGCCTCCTTTACCCCACAGTCCGAGATCGGCTTTGGGAAATTGGAGACCTACATTAAGCTGGACAAGCTGGGCGAGGTGAGGGACGGCCGGGAGGCCCATGGTGGGTATGAGGGTCAGTGAGAATTCCCTGCAGCCTCATAGCTTCTCCTCCTATCTCTTTTTTCTCATATGCCAGGGCACCTATGCCACTGTCTACAAGGGCAAAAGCAAACTAACAGATAACCTTGTGGCACTCAAGGAGATCAGACTGGAACATGAAGAGGGGGCACCCTGCACTGCCATCCGGGAAGGTACAGACCCTCACCCTATCTGCCCCAGGCTTCCTGGACTCCGTTTATTGCACACATACATGTCTCGTAGTGAGAAAAGAGGCTGGGGATTCTGAGACTTCCTGATGCTCTGAGCTTCATGCCTTTGTTGGCTGGTCCACTAGAGAAAGTGCCCATCACGTGCATCTCTAGGCAATAATCCAGGCAACAAAAAATCCTCTCCTGTTTGAAGAAAAGGCAAATGATTTGGACATAATGTGCTTGCTTTGGTTCTGAGAGCACCCCTGGAAGTGCTCACCAATTTATTTGACCCAACTTTCAAGTTAGGAAATATGTGGAATGAATCTGAATTGCAAAGAAATTGAACGTATAGACTCAAGTTCACACAATGCTGCAGGCCTGTGTGCTGAGGATTAGAGCAAGACTCCTTTTCCAGAAATCCAAAAAAGGTTGTGAAAATCTAGTGTCATACAAAATGAGCCTGAGGCTACAGTCTCAGGTTCCTCTGAGTCTTGGTTTCCACATCTGAAATATGGAGACATATTTTCTAACTGGCATATGTTGGATTGGGGCAGTACCTACAAAGCATTAATCTAATCTGCATGGGGAAAGATGGTCCCTGTCCTTATCTCTATCCTTAGGATGGGGCCTTGACTTTTCTTTGGTCCCACCCCCATGTTTTCTGCAGTGTCCCTGCTCAAGGACCTCAAACATGCCAACATCGTCACACTACATGACATTATCCACACAGAAAAGTCCCTTACTCTTGTCTTTGAGTACCTGGTAAGGTTGGGTGGCAGTGGATATTGGGGGGAGGTAGGAAGATGGCCAGGAGCCATGGGGTATGACCTTTGTTCCTGTACCTCCTCCTTTTCTTTCCCCAGGACAAGGACCTGAAGCAGTACCTGGATGACTGTGGGAATGTCATCAACATGCACAACGTGAAAGTGGGTGTGGGGCAGGAAGCAGGGGCACAAGGGGGCCCCCCCTCACACATTTCGCTCAAAAAATCTAGAAATGGACTTTTCCCATTTGGTTGCTTTACTGGGAGTTCTTGGAGGGTTTTGGGACCCTGTCTTCATTTATATGGCAAGGTTCATGGGCTCGGTGTCTGGGAGGGGGAGCAGTGCTGGCTGGAGGTCGAGCTGGTGAATACTCCTTGACACTACCTGCTGTTCCTGGGTCCCCAGCTGTTCCTGTTCCAGCTGCTCCGTGGCCTGGCCTACTGCCATCGGCAGAAGGTGCTACACCGAGACCTCAAGCCCCAGAACCTGCTCATCAACGAGAGGGGAGAGCTCAAGCTGGCTGATTTTGGTACACCCAAACTCCCCCTTCTCTGAACATCTAGTCTCATTCCCCTTCCCCAGGACCCCCTTAACTTTCCTCACACTCTAATCCCCTCCCCCAGCCTCATTCTTTACCTGCTTATCTACCCTCAGATCTATTTGAGGCTCATTTATACCCCAACTCCCTCACTTTAGCCTCTTCAGACTGCTTAGGATACTCTCAATCCCAACTGCACTCTGCCCCAGATTTTGCTTAGGACCTCCTCAATTCCAGCTGCCACTTCTCTCCACCTCCCAGGCCTGGCTCGGGCCAAGTCAATCCCAACGAAGACGTACTCCAACGAGGTGGTGACATTGTGGTACCGACCCCCTGACATCCTGCTGGGGTCCACAGATTACTCCACCCAGATTGACATGTGGTGAGGACAGGTGGAAGTGTGGCCAGCAGGGGCCATGTAGTAAAGGGGGTGGCTTGGTCACAATGGCCAGCCAGTCGACTGCCTTCCTACTCACTGTGCCCTCCCTGCCCAGGGGTGTGGGCTGCATCTTCTATGAGATGGCCACAGGCCGGCCTCTCTTCCCGGGCTCCACGGTGGAGGAACAGCTGCACTTCATCTTCCGCATCCTGGGTGAGGGAGCATGAGCCCTGGGAGTCATGGGGGCATGCCAGGTAGGACCTGTAAGATGTTTACGGTGACTCTTCCCTGTTAGGAACCCCAACCGAAGAGACATGGCCAGGCATCCTGTCTAATGAGGAGTTCAAGACATACAACTACCCCAAGTACCGAGCCGAGGCCCTTTTGAGCCATGCACCCCGGTGAGGCTTGTGTGTGTGTGTGTGTGTGTGTGTATTTGTGTTAGGGGCTAGAGTGCCAAAACTCAGTTTAAAGCAGGTTCCCTTGTCCTTGTGATAGACTTGACAGTGATGGGGCCGATCTCCTCACCAAGCTGCTGCAGGTGAGGCCATCTTCCTGGGCCAGTCTTCTGGGTAGGGGTGCTTCCGGTGTGGGTAAACAGAGACCCCAGGGGCAGGGTCTGGGGTGGGGCAGAAGAGAGACCATCTTGTTGAAGGTACCAATATCCCCCCATCACCCCTTCAGTTTGAGGGTCGTAATCGGATCTCTGCAGAGGACGCCATGAAACATCCATTCTTCCTCAGTCTAGGGGAGCGGATCCATAAACTTCCTGACAGTGAGTGGGCCTTGGGTGTGGACTGGCTGGTGGAGGGCTAGGGTGGGTACAGGCCTGCTGCAGACAGCTGGGCAGGTTGTACAGCACTCTGGCTAATTCACCTCTAAGGGGGTACCAAAACCAGGCCAAACCCACAGCCATCAAGTTGATTCCAGCTGAGCAACCCTACAGGATGGAGTAGAACTGCCCCATAGAATTTCCAAGGCTGTAAATCTTTATGTAAGCAGACTGCCACATCTCCCACAGAGTGGCTGGTATGTTCAAACCAGCAACCTTTTGGTTAGCAGCCACCACATTAATCACTGTGCCACCCTCTTTACACATTGGAGTTGTGTTTATTACAAAAAAGTTCATTTCCTTTTTTATATTATACCTTTTATGAAAATTTTCAAACATAGAGGAAAATAGATGCAATGTTACTTTAAGTTAATGTTTCCTTGAAAAATGCACAAATTCTTAGTATACAGAATAATGAATTTTCACAAATTAAACACACCCATATAATGCTAGGGACAAGAAACAGAATGTTATAAGGCCCCAGAAGACCCTTGCATCCCCTTCAGGTATTCCTCACCCCTTCTCCAAGGGTTAACAGTATTTTGACTTCTAACAATATAGATAATAAGTTTTCCCTGTTTTTGTGCTTTGTATAAATGGAATCACATGGGAGGTTCTCTTTTAATATCTGGCTTTTAAAACTTTTATATTATGAGCCCCTAAGAATCTATTACCCACTTCAACAGTCATCAATTTGTGGCTAATCTAGTTTCATCTACTGTATTCTCTCTGATTATTTTAAATCAAATGCCAGACATTATGTCATTCATCCATAAATAATTTTAGTATGTGTCTCTTAAAAGATTTTTAAAAAACAATACCGTTATCACACTTTAAAAAAAAATCCCACTTCCTGTATCTCTCCACTAGGTTAATTTATATCAAATCCCAAACACCATTCATCACCTAACTTAACAGGTAGTAGTACCTGTAGTACCATTATCACACTTGATAAAATTAACAATTTCTTGGTGTCATATAGTCCATATTCCATTTTCTCTAGTTGCATCTGGTTTGTGTATGGAATTATTTGACAGATGAAAGTCAAGCCTCTCAAAGAAGGGGCATCTTTTTCTAATTCTCCCAAATGAGGCCATATGGGGAGTTGTCTTAGATTGCCCCATAGGTCATTTCCCACCTGTCTCCCTTCTATCCATAGCTACTTCCATATTTGCACTAAAGGAGATCCAGCTACAAAAGGAGGCCAGCCTTCGGTCTTCATCAATGCCTGACTCAGGTAGATATATGCCCAGCCCTCCTCTGCCCCACTCACCTACCTGCTTGTCCACCAATAGCCATCCGCTTTGCTTTCCCCTGCAGGCAGGCCAGCTTTCCGTGTGGTGGACACAGAGTTCTAAGCCAAGTACTAAGCCACAGACCCAGGCCCCAACAGGCAGCGGCTGGAGGGATGCCACACCCTTCACAGGGCAGCCCCCGACTGCATCCCCCATGCTTGCTGCCTGCCTACTTGCCTGACTCATGCTCACCTGCCCACATGTCCCCTGCTGCCTGCCCCAACACCCAACCATCAGCCTATCAGCCCACCCATTGGCCTGTCTACTGGGTGCTAACAAAGCTCTCATCGCTCCTTCACCTGGTCTGTCTGTCTCTTTCTCTGTCTCGGCAGTTGCCGGCGGACAGCATGGCCGTGCCAGCCTCCCACACTGAGGCCAGGCCTACTCACTTCCCCATCATACCCTCCCCCAGGACCACTACCCCACGGCCAGCCAGGGGTCCGGAGCTAGCCCAGGTTGGGGATCTGGACTCAGACAAGATGGTGGTGATGCCTGGGGTCTGAGGCTTCCCCTGCCTGCCTTCCTGCCTGCCCCACCTGCCTCATGTTGTGTGGGCCTCTGTTTGTTTCATTCATTGTTTTTCTCTCTTTTTTTAATTATTTTGAATGAGGTTTTCATTTTTTTAAATGCAATATCTCTATACAGACTGGCTGGGTCCCACCCCCTATGTGTGGGCCCTCCCACAGTATTTTGTGCAATGAAGCCCCGCTCCCAGCCTCTCAGAGGCAGGGACACACAGCCCCTCTCCAGAACCCTGACCATCACCAGACCCTGGGGTCGGCTAAGGGAAAGCATGCCCTGGCCACTCACCTTCCTACCCCTGCCTGCCATTCCCAGCCACTAGGGGACCTGGGAACTCCTGGAGACTCTCTGGGAGATGGATAAGGTGGAGGGCACCACTCTTTCCCTCTTACAGTCCCATAGCCAGGGCCTCCTTCCTTCTCAGGGTCTCCCCAGCCTAGCCTTCCTGTGCCCCCTGTCCCACTCGGTGCTGTTGAGTAGGGGCCCTGCCAGAACTAACCAACTAAGCGAGGAGCCGTAGTGTGTATATGTGCACAGGCAGGAATGGGTGCATGGAGGGTTGTGCCCAGGCATTACCCCTAATCCCTGGGAAGGATGAGGCAGGGCAGGGGCAGTTTGCGGGGTCAGTCCCCAGATGGGTGGTTACCTCCCCTTCTTCCACCCTAAACCCTGGGGCCCTCAAATAGGGTGGGAGGGCAGAGGTGGGGGCCCTCCTAGTGGGGTTTGGAGGGTTGGGTTCCTGAATGCACCATAATTGCTGTATGAATATTAAAAGTCTAAAGTGAAAAGCCTGATTGCAAATCCCTATAGGGTGGAGGAGGGCTCTTGAGCAGGGGTGATTACTGGGACTTTGGAGAATTCATACCTGGTCCCCATCTTCTAGGAGAACACTGGAAGTGAGCCAAGGACATTTCATGGAAAAGACATCTGAATTATGTTGATGGTCAAGCAGAGAAAGGAATTAAGACCCAGAAATAGGAGGTAGCCAGATAGGGTTAGAGGAAGGTAAATGAAGAGAGGGTATTTGTTCAAAAGAGACTTAGAAGGCCCAGTAGAACTAGCAGTGTGAAATGGAAGGTGGGGACATGAGACAGAGAGTCCCAGTATTACCACCATATACCTAACCATGACACTATAAGGAAGGCCAGCTGGAGAGGGAATAGGATAAGAGGGTAGATTTGGGACCACTGAGTAGGTAAAGAATCTTTTGATACATGGATCCAATTAATGAGTGGGGCCAGAAATGGAGCTGTATATTAAGTCATTGTTCAGGAAGTAACAGAAACCATGAGCATAGAAGAGATGGCCCTGGGAGGGGTATAATGATTTGAGGCTAGTGATCAAATGATACAACCTGGGACTTGTTCTCAGGTGTGGGGATAGTTGGAAGTTTTGATTTCTTTGCTTCGTGATTTCTAATCCCATTTACCATCTTGAACAAAGCCGAGGATAGACTTCTAGGCAGAAGAGGTAGGGTGGGCAGGGACAGGCAAACAGTGCAAGTAATAGCAAACTTCACCAATAAACCAAATTTGCTGCCATCGAATCCATTCTGATTCATAGTGACACCCTTTGGGTTCCCAAGGCAGTAAATCTTTGCAGAAGTAGATTGCCCAGTCTTCTGCAGAGTGGCTGGTGGGTTTGAACCATCAGCCTTCTGATTAGCAGTCAGATGCCTTGGGCACTGCGCCACCAGAGCTCCTTAAACTTCACCAATAGTGGCTGTTTACTGAGGTTATGGCTCAGGGACCTCTAATCACACCACTATGCCCCTGTAAGTGCTTTGATGATCTCTTAGCTTTCAGCTTCATGTGGCAAGATGATTGCCATGTCCTCAGGTGGGAAAGCAAGCATAGCCCAGAGGCCCTGCCCCTGCCTTCGGCTACCTGTTTTCTTGTAGAACAGGGCTGAAACTGACACAAGTTCCTCAACAAATTTCCCTTGCTGTCAGATGATGAATCAGATAACATGGCCCCTTCTGGCAGCAAAGAAGGCTTGGGCAATGAGGGCCTTGTAAAGAGTACAAGCTCACCCAACTGCTCTAAGAAGTGGTAGGGTCAGTAAGTATGGGCAGAAATTGGCCTCTGGGAGATGGAGAAACCCAAATCTAGGGCTGGGGAAGGTGGCCTCTTGTTGGGTTGTAGGAAGGATAGACTACCTAGGTAAACGGTGAGGTGAGTAAAGTCAGAATCTGACAAGATTCATCAGTGCCTGAAGAGCAGATGTGCCTGACCCAACTCAAATGCCACTTTCTTGGGCCACCTCAGGTGAAAAAGCAGTTCCCTTTCCTTTATGGGTTACACAACTGAATTGTGATCCCCTCAGCTGTGCCAGGTCTGGGCTGGAGGCACAGTAATAAAAATACAACCCCTGCCTTGCAGAGATTAATAGAAAATAGAACAAAATTATGAGATCAGGTGGGGAGGGTAATGATATGAAAGAGTGTTAAAACTGTGCAGAGAGAAGGTATTCTGGGTGTTCCAAGCCCAGAAACTTGTGTATACATAGGCCTAACTCACTGCTGTTGAGTCAGGTTGAGTTGGAGCTGACTCAAGGCGACTCCTTGGGTTTCTGAGGCAGTATCACTATGGAAGTAAATTGCCCAACCTTCCTTCCAAGGAGTGGCTGGTGGGTTTGAATGGCCAGCCTGCTGGTTAGCAGTCAAATGCCTCGGGCACTATGCCACCACAGCTCCTGTACGTAGGCCTAGAGGTATGGAAAGGCAAGATTTTTTTTTCCTTTTTAAAAACTTACTGTGATTTGGGTGAAAAGTTACACAGCAAATTGGTTTTCCATTTAATTCATACACATTTTGTTTTGTGACATTGATTGCAATCCCCACAATGTAACAACACTTTTCTCACTTCCTGTGTCAACTATTTTCATTCATCCTTCTTTCTTGTACCTGTCTTCTGAGCTCTAGCCCTGGGCAAATAGCTGCCCTTTGGATATTGTATGGTGGCAAGATGTGTTTTTGTGTGTGGGAACTGGGTAGTGATAGTGAAGAAAGTCACTGAAACAGACCCAGAACTATGAGTTTGTTTTGAGGAGTTTGTGGGATGGCAGGTGGAAACAGGCAGTAGGCAGGTAGATGCAGGAAGCCAGTTGTCGTGTGCCGTTGAGTCGGACCTGACTCATAGCGACCCCTCCTTGGGTTTCCAAGGCAGTATCACTACAGAAGTAGATTGCCCAACCTTCCTTCCAAGGAGTGGCTTGTGGGTTTGAACCTCCAGCCTTTGGTTAGCAGTCAAGTGCCTTAGGCACTATGCTACCAGAGCTCCCTAGGAAGCCAGAAAAGGAAATATTAAAGTTATTACCACTGTTGGTAGGATTGAGAGCACAGAATAGGATGGCATAGCCTAGTTCAGTGGTTCTCAACAGGGAACAGTCCCATCACGTGCATACTGGGATATTTGGCAATGTTTGCAGACCATTTTTTTGTTCTCCCCACTCCAGGAGTTACTGGCATCTAGTGGGCAGAGGCCAAGTATGCTAAAAGACATCCTACATTTCTCCTCACAACAAAGAAATGTCAGTGCTGAGGTTGAAAACCCTAGCTTAGTGCAGTGGTTCTCAAACTACTGGTCTCAGGAGCCATTTCGATTCTTAAAAATTGAGAAAGAGCTTTTGTGTATGTCATGTTTCTGCAAAATTCCATCGTACCCATGACTGAGAGTTAAATCATTGTGAAAAAATGTTTATAGACTACCTGAACCACAAGAGGGTCTCCAGTACCTGGGAACACAGTTTTAAGACTCCCTGGCCTGCTGTTTAGGGTCACAGCTCTGGAGCTAGAGCTTAGGCACTATGCTACCAGAGCTCCCTACCACAGAGCTAGGGAAACTGGGGTAACATTTTCTGGTCCTCAGCTTCCAAGATTGCCTATGGACTACAACGATAGTATATACAGCCTAAGGCTGCTATCTATCTATCTAATCTTATCTATCTATCTATTTATTTGGAGCTCTGGTAGCATAGTGGCTAAGGCACTTGACTGCTAACCAGAAGGCTGGCGGTTCAAACCCACCAGCCACTCCTCGGAAGGAAGGTTGGGCAATCCTACTTCCGTAGTGATACTGCCTCGGAAACCCAAGGAGGGGTCGCTATGAGTCGGGGCTGACTCGACGGCACATAACAACCACAAGGCTGCTATTTAAACGCAATAAATACTTAAACATGGCCAAAACAGATATGGGCGTTTCATTATCACTGCAGTGACTCCTACAAACACTCAGCGCCTTGGGCTGACTTGCTTTCAATACATGTCTGTCAAATGAGGAACTCTACTTCAGGAAAAGAAACAACAGCCTGTGGATCTGAGTGGCTCCCTGGAGGTAGTGACATCTTTTACATTGGGTTTGGATGGATGAGAAGAGTAGTGTAATTAAGGAATGGCATTCTGGCTTGAGAACAAAGGCATCATTCTCAGGATAGCAGTCCGCGGTCCTCAGCAAAGCGCAGAAGCAAGAAAACCGGGCGCCTTTGAATGGCACTAAGTACTACCCAACATGTCTTCCCTCACCTCTGCTTCCGACTTCCTA